GTATGAGACTTATACCTAAATTAACAGATAACCGCGTCCTTCCTTAAAAACTTAGGATTAATAAAATTAAAGTGAAATTTACCACTCAGACATTTAGCAGGACAGTTGCAAGTAGCATGGGATACCTTGCAGGTAACTTACAATAGATACGCTTGACATTTATGGCGTTGAATTATAGTACATATTATTTATGTATAAATATTATGTTATTTTTGTAATAATATAAAAAAACTGTATTTGCTTGCACCATTTCTATGTCAATATAAAAAAGAAATACTTGTTTTTTTAACATACTTAATAACTCCCTTTTTTTTCAGATAAGGACATTCTCCCTAATGCATGCAAAGCAACAGCTGCCATTCTCCTGTTTTTTGACAATTTATTTGACTCTCAAAACTGAAGTTATATGAAGAACTCAATAAAATATGCGAAACCGCTGCTTCGGCCTGTCAGACCTGTAGATATAGAAAAAAAGAAGAGATTTGGTAATTGGCAAGTGCTAAATATAGCATTAGCGTACTCAAACGCGAAATTTAACAACAATAAACCAATCAGCTATTTGGCGTTTCGCACCAAACGTTAAATACTACAAATAATATGTGAAAGTATTTCACGTTATATTTGTTTCAACCAATGACAAGAGCCGTAATTTTCACATAGAATATAGTGCCATCTATGAAATATTAAGGGAGATAACTCAGAACGAAGAAGGATTTTGTTTGTTAGCTGCGTAAGTAAAGCACGGATAGATTAATGGTATGGCATTGAAATATTGTAAAATAATATCTCTAGGTGGCATTTGGTTTAATTTTCTTAACGTATCCAATCCAAAGTGAAAAAAGTTCATTATAATTTTAGCACCTTTATGTCTTACAAATTATAATTGCTATAATATTTTTTTAATTTAACGTTATAATTTGAGCTATATATTATATTAACCATCTCTACATGGCGGTCGTTGTACGGACAACGGCACGTCAGACTACACATTTTTGTTCCAAAATCCCCTCCAGTGCACCGGAACAAGAAACGTCAATGTGTACAAGATCTCTCGTAAAACGTGAAAATGCCAAGTTGTAGCGATACACCTTGTAAAAATTGGAGTGAAAACAAAAATTTTAAAACCAGTGAAACAACATTCCACCGGCTATTTGCATTTTTAGTTACTATTTATTGTATATCGAGTTCTTAGGTTTTCGCGATTGTTACCCATAGGAAATGAAACTATTTTTCCGGATTTAAATCGCGTATATTTGTTTTTTCAAACAAAACGACGTTTCGGGCCCTTTGCAGGTCCCTTGGTCACGGTTGACTCATGGGACCTGTAAAGGGCCCGAAACGTCGGT